AATATATAAAAAGTGTGAAACATATGTAAAACACAAAACCGTATGAAATAAAAATAAAAATAAAATAAATAACGTTGAATCAAATTTTGGAGAGCTTTCCTATTGCAGTCACATATACTTCCGGGAGGCACTCAGTATCAATCTGCAACTTGATACTGTTCTTTTTGTCTTTTAATGTGTAAAACTTCAGAAATTAGTCGTTTGTGTAAATGTGGCTCTCTGTCTAAAATCTCAACATTCTCCCAATTGAAATTGTGGTTGTATGCAAATAACTAACTACTGTAACTGTTCTTGAAGATGCATTGTATTTTGAGAGACGACCGGCGTTATGAATTTCGATGTTTGCTGCTACATTGACTATGAATTTACGATTCGTTCTTCGTCTAAGTAGATTTATTTGTATATTTTTTATCTCTTGTGCTGACGAAGGCTGAAAGATTAGCCGAAACGTCCGCTTTATGTTACTTTGATTATGTTACATTGATTGTCGCGCCTAACATTCGACGTAGGCACGCTTGTAGACGGGAGGTTGCCCCGAATACTATTTCTTGATATACTATTGTCATACGGGACTAATCGAGGACTCGGCTTCGTTATTACGGAAATGGTTGACTCGGCCTCGTGTGGTACGGAAATGTTTGAGGACTCGGCCTCGTGTACTCGTTTTATTATCGCACGGATCCGTGTATGACGCTCGTCGAACTTGATCTGATCTGTATTCAAATGAGACTTCATGTATATAAGAAAATCGGAAGCTGTAGTCGTAGGAGCCGTATGTAGGAGCTGTAGTGCTCCAGTCAATCACAGCCCGATCCTGTGACAGCGTTCTGTCCTTGTCGCGAAGTTCTTCGAGCCATGAAACGCAGTGGCTCGACGATATAAACAAGGGCAAGGACATAAAGAGAACCGCGTTATGTACATTTTCGAGACTCTGTGCGGCGGCGTCTTGTGATATAATTCTAGTCACTATTCCGTCGCAACATTGATTATTATTAAATTTTATGCGCTCTTAGTACTGCGTTGTGCTCTCATTGCTATTATACCCCATTCATATTCTTTTATCGAGAGCCATATCTTATATTCAATATATTTTGGAATCATATATTCGTTGTTATTAGAATTTTAAATATTTATACTTAATGTACTTACAAACAAAAATTGAAAATAAAATGGCGCTTCACTACACAAACTAATCGATCGTATAATGATAGGGTTTAAAAGATAAGTGCAATAAGTAAGTCTGCTGAGAGGAATCCAGCCTTTGAATGATAACAATTGATTAACGATACCTATAATAAGATTAAATTATTATCATTATATTATCGTTAAAAATAATGTTTAAAAAAAAAAGAGAGAGAAAAAGAAACATATTTGAAATTTGAAACTATAATATATAATTATGATGAAAAAATAATTATTAAAATAAAACTAAAAAGTAATACTGATAATAAATAAAATATAAATAACAAATAATAATTTTTAACCTTTCATACATATTAATTATAACAACTGTTTCTGTATAAATAAGTTCCAAAAAATAAACAAACCTCCGTGTTTAGTAAAACATGCTATTACAACCCATGCAAAACTTATGGCCCAAAACACTCTATGCAAGGCAATATAAATAGCAGTAATCTTAACGGATGTATATTGTACGGATGTATAATGACCAAATATTATAAAAATAATGCTAATGATCGAAAGCAACCAACATAATATTATTTTTTTCTGAAAATTGTCATATTATTATAATAGAGTAAGAATTTATAGTAAATCCTAAACATGTATATTATAAATAATAAAATATTATAACTTATTTATATTTTTATTCTATATATTGTACTATACTAGAGTGTCTCATTTTTTTTAATCAATCTATTAGAATATTTCAAAATCCTTAAATTTAAGTTAGAAATGTCAGATAAAAATTGTAGAATATCAAATGGACTGTATAATTAATATTGATTCATTTTTTTTTAGATAGCATCACTATTGAGACATTTTATGATCGCCATTGTTTTACATGAAATCATATATTTTTGTTACGTAATATGATCCCAGTGAATATCAAAGTTTCGAAAATATGAGAAAATATCTAAAAGATATCTAAAAGCCATTTAAAAGATATCTAAAAAGATATTCTCGTAGCACTTTTAAAAGATTTCTATATTCATTTGAAAGTATTTAAAATATCTTTAAAATATTTATATATTATAACAAATGTTACAAGAATATTTTTACCGAAATCTATTTAGATTTTATTTTATTTTAATATATTTAATACATTTAAGGTATTAAAGATACCTAAATTCTTTGTTTGAAAAGATTTTTAGACATTTTTAAAACATGTATATTGTATCTTTAACTTAATATTATTAATTTTTTATTTAACTTTTATGTTTCCTTCTATGAAGAAATTTTTATGGAAAGATGCTTCTAATCCTATAATCATTTTGACTGGAAAAAAAAAAG